ATCTACCTTTTTCGATGGGACTTGGGCTGTTGAGTTTGTTCAGAGCTGGACACTCAGACTGCGTCAAGATCCCATCTCCCCCAAGTTGACCTGGGCAATGCCCTCAACTAGCATGGCTACGCAGGTGAAAAAAAGTCCATGTCATTTTCGTCTGAATAATGCAAAGTCTGGCAAATTACTCTTTCAATGTACTCTACTATTTTATCGCAGTACTTGTCAAATCCATCATTCAATTCTTATTCTCAGTAATTTGCAAGTATAAATATCCCCTTCTCTTACGAGTGCGCGTGTCACCACAAACCGATGTTGTCTTGCACTTTTGTTATTCCGCTAAGCTCTGCGAAGTGCTTATGTGTGTTCTTTGGTGTCCTCTGGTAGCGAATGAGCACGTAAGCGAGATTCGAGCGCGCCATTCCTTTACACAATCTACGAATTGCTTCCTCTTGTGTTCAAAACTTTGGGACAAAATTTCACCAGTTTTTTGGGGGTCAGGTTATCTTTATGGTTGATGATATGTTGTGTCTATGACCTATCTCATTGGCATCAAAAATTTTTCTACACTCCTTAATACGCAGTCTTCTTTTACCCAGGTGGCAGCTTTTTTCTCTTATGCCTAACGGCCTTCCAGATTTACCATTTGGATATTTTATGCTTATCATTGTTTGAGGTTTGTCAAGATTGTACTGTCTTAATTCTACTTTCCACGAAGTCATAAAAAACTTTTTACTCCCAAAATTTTCTTTTATTTTTCTATTTTCACAGCAACAATTAGTTTTTGGGTTTTGGGTTTTTTTAGTCCCAGTGAAGGTAAACAAGGTAAATAAGTTCTCTTTTCGAATATGTCTACGTCGGGTATTTTATAGGAGACTCCATTCATTCATTCTTGCTAATTCATCTTTCAGTTTGAAATGGGTTTGGTGACTGCAGTTCTCTTCAAGTTGCGTCCTAGAAATTGCTGGAATCCAAGTCCATATCTTGAGACTAGTGCAAGATCGATTAAAAGACACAGTTGACGCTACTAATCCTCTCTGCCAGCGCTGAACTTTTCTTTTACCCCGAGAAAGTTGTATAGAAGCATTTGCCGCTGATTTTTGCGCTGGTTATTTCATACAGCAATGTTTTCTACAAGCTGGTGAGGGTGTTTGAGAAGATTTATGATTTGAACGAATGTAAAAGGTCACAATTTTTCCTTCCTAGATTACTTTATAGGCAAATAACGAGGCTTTCTTGTCGTTTATCTGTTTGCAGAAGGAATTTTCCTTTTTTTGTCACATGCTTTTATTTTCCAGCTATGTTGGCCAACCAGATCGTATTCCCTTTTCATGTCCTGATGAAGAACTAAATCGATATCTCGTCGACGACGAGTATGGTGTGTTGTTGACAATTTTGAAACTCTCTGCACGTTCTTCACACTGTTTTCGTTCAGGTTATGGCTATCGCACTAACGGTCCGATTCGTCGAGTGCAATTCTTGAAAGGAAGATCAGGCTCTGCGATAATGATGGGTGGAACTACAGTTGTACCAGTCAAAATGGTGGATACATCGGATTCGCCTCCGCTTCTTACAGCCGAGGTGCTTGATGCGGATTATATGAAAGAGCCCATAAAATTGCGACCGACATCGTCAGCTTCGTCGTCGTCCAGTCAAAGAAACGTAGCGCATGAGGTAAATCTTATCTGTTTTTGTAATTTATTAGTTAACACGTTCGACCCATCGGTGGGCCGTATGACAATCCGACCCACAGGTGAGCCGTATGATACGACCCACCGGTGGGCCGTATGCTTTCTGAAATTCTTGATTTTACTAGTCTATTATGAAACTATTTGGGCAAACTGTATATACTTCTGTATACATCTCCTGGA